TCCATTTGAATGGTTTTGAAAAAGTTGTTACCATACATGCTTGGAAGCCATTTTTGAAAGTTCGAAGTCCATGCCATTTTAATTAACAATTTTAAAAACAACAAAAACAAATCACACACATGGATTATTTACCTGCTTAAGTCTTGCTTTCAAAGCTGCTTCTGCATTCCAAAAACATAAAAACCTCCAAACCATTAAGAACTAGTAAACATTTTTTGCATATGTGTAAACAAACAAACAAACAGCCAAAATTGTTTTTGGCTAGAAATCTTAGGTAACTAGTTTGAAATGAAATTTCTCAGCTACGTTTAAGACACCTGAAAATATGTATGAGTTTAAACTAAACTATACTGCTAACACTAATTAAAGCAATGCTTTGCTTTTAAAAGATAAGACAACGTGCTTTTTCAGATCAGAAAAAATGTCACCATCTATGAAGCACATTTTGATTATGAATCTTTTTCCTTTGATAGATCAGTTGCTTCACAAAATCCCTCACAAGACAGCAATCCAGGAAAAACCAAGGTTACAAGGTTCACATTTTAAAGATTGTCAGTATTGTAGACCAAATGTTGATAGAACAAAGGATAATTGATAGATCACTTCTGTTACTATCTAAAAACATAGGACTGCAATAACACTGGGTAGATATCTTGACAGTGTTACAAGATCAGCAAGTTTGCTTCTGTAAGAACAACGGAGTGCTTTCCCTCAAAGGACGGTAGGATCAGTCAGCAAGTCCTAAAGAATTAAATCACAGAAGGGAACATATGTTTATACGTCCAGGTGACACACAGGGTGACCACTTAGCTGCATACTTCTGCCATCTTTCACTATATTTCATGCTTGGTGATAAAGTAAACTATTTTTATGATTAAAATAAGAAGAAGAAGAAGAAGAAAAATGGTTTTAGCAAGCCCAGAAAATCTGATTTGGGTTCAGCAAAGCCAGCCTTTTTTATTCCATCTATACTGAAAAAACAAAATTCAATAAAGAGCAAAGTGAATCCAGGAGGATCTTTCAAGCTATATACTCAATTTATAAATAATACAGGTTTAGGTTTTGCTTTCTTTTGAACACAGCAGCTAAACTTGCAGACTCATTATTTTTTCTTGGCTAGCTTTGTTTTTTTGAAGGAGGAATTTCCAGTCTGGATACATTACATTTAACATGGCAGAAGGGAGAATGGTTTAGAAATTTAAAAACTGCACTATTGAGAACCATGTTAACATGTGAGATTTTCACGAGGGGGAAGAAGGTTACTTTTGTTTCCAATATGTTTTCTTAATTATTTTTTGTGTAGTTAGCCTTAAAATTCAACTGAATTTAAGTTAAATGTGTAGGTAAGATTCATCAAAATAAGAGGTTCAAAATACAACAGAAACAGAGCACCTAAAAATGACCGAGTCACAAATCAAATGACTGAGCACCTACAAATGACTTTCATCTTGCATAGACAGAATGATTAATCATCGTTTCCAAGGAGAAGTGGTTTCAGAAATCAAATAATTAATACCTTTAATTAACCTCATTCCAACAAAGTGCATCTGTTTTAAATTTTGCACAATTTTCAAAATGTCTTTTTAAACACTGCAGGTTCATAAAGTCCTTGGAAAGATTTGGTTTATCCCTTTCACTGATAAAGTTAATGAAGTCAGACACCTGAATATGTTTCACTTTCCTGTTAGGTTAGGGAGTAGTAAGTAGTGGTTTTCTTTTACATAAAAACCTTCAGGGCAGGAGCCCACACCCACAGAAAGGCCTGCAAACCTGTATGCTCACATAGTCCTACATTAAAGGCTGCACTTTGACCTAGTAGCCAGATTTGATAATTTGATAATGAGGGCTATTGCTTATTCATTCAGAAAGTTTTATATTATACCATGATAACTTAGAAAAAATGACTCTTAAAAGGTCTATTTTTTTTAAAACATGGGCTTCCTGAAAAAGTTTTAACTGAGTTAATTTACTTTGAGGTAACGAATAGGATTTCTACAGTTTTCAAATATTTTCAAACTATTCACAATTGCATGCTGGCTGCTTTTAAGCACATGACTTTTAAAACTAGCTTGTCTTTTTATTACAGCATGACTATGACTCTCATTTGGGAAGAAGTTAAATAGATGTTTATGTGCTAAGCCCTTGCATTGCTCAAGTACCCTTCCTAAACAGCTGTGCTTTCGTGAATTCTTTTCCTGTTTAAAAATGGAAAAAAATCTCACCACTTTCTTTTACTCATGGAAAGGACAAAAGTCCTTTCATGGACTCAGTCCTCAGTCTATTCAAATTAATTGCAAACTTCAAAATGATTTCAATGGGAAAAGGTTTAAATTCTATTTCTTAAGCAATACCTTTGATTATTACAACTACAATAACTTTATGAATATAATTTGTTTCATTCTGATGTCTACTTTTGACAATTCTTTTGGATTTTGTAATAAAAATTGATTAGTCCATTTTCTTTCTCTATGATAACTTTCTAATCAACTTCACATTTCACTGAATGTTATCTGTCATTATTCCACAAGAGAATAAAAACTATATTGGAATGAAGAAAAAAATCCATGAAAAATAATTTAATTGCGTAAGGCTTTGTTAAAACCTTCCTCTCATGAAATCAAAGAGGACATCATCTGCTTGAAATATAGTTGCTTTCAACTAGTGAGTCCCCTTCTCTAGGAACCCCTTGCCAATGTTTTGTAATAAACAATTATATTCTCTCTCTCTCTCCCCCCTTCTCCCTCTCTCTTTTGAGGGCTTGATTCTGCCAGCCTTATTCACATTTGCTCATCTGCATAAGTGCTTGCAGCACTGGAGGGTTAACATGCTATTAAATGTGAGCAACGGTTGCTGAATCAAGCCCTAAAATGTTGCCCCATTTACCTATTGTTGTGTGGGAAACCCACACAAATCAAATGGAAAAAATTACTAGGCAATGGAAACAATGAAAATACAAAGTGCTGACAGAAGCAAAAAGCAGATGGAGTAAAGAAAGAGAGAAGAAATATTTTCTTTCATTGTCTCAGTTTTAGTCATCTCAGGTGCCCTTTGTAACAGTCATAGGTAGAACCTTTTTTAGCGATGTCTGACTTAAAGTTGATTCTGCCTTTTAAATTTGTGTGTCAAACTTGACTTGACACTATCTCTTAGATCAGTTATGTTATATCAGTTTTCATAATTTAATTTTTCATGATACATTTTTAGCATTTTCTTTAAATTTCAGAGTCCCTTGTCACTGCAGCTGAGGCAACAGGCCAAATTCATCATAGGTGGAAGTGAGTACTGCTACAGGAAAGTCATTTGCTTATGCCAACGCTGAGTAAAGTCTGATGCCAATTCAAAAAATTGGAAAAATATGTTTTCTTCTATGTACACACAACAATTTTTGGCATCTCCTTTTCAGGTCTCTGTGCACACTGCCTGTAAACTGACCAGTAAGACAGCATTTAAGGCCCTGATTCAACAATGGATTTAAGCATGTGTTTAAAGTTAAGCTGAAGCACATACCTGAATGTTAGGTGAAACATGAATGGCTTTAGGCAGGCAAATGAAATTATGCACTTAAGTCCTTTGCTCAGTCAGACCCTATATGATTCAAAGCTAGCACTTTTCCTTACAGTCCTGTGGGAGATAAAGCTAGCCGCGTTCTAATTCAGAAAACAGCTTTCTGGCTTTGCTACAAAACCCAGGTACAATAAATGCACTTATAGAAGAGCACTTCTATCATGCCACAAGACTCCCATGATCTGCTGTTATTTGTATTTAAAAATGGGCAATACAAACTTCCAATGTCAAGTGTCAATAGGTATGTATGAATAACCATACAAAACTCCAAGTCTGTAAATAAACTGAAATTAACCATTATCACAAATACATCTGTTTTTATCACTGGTTCTAATAAATTTGACAATGACAGAGAAGGTTTTCATAATCTAAGAAGCCTGTTTTATATTCTTGTAACCTTCAGATTTGAAAAGACCTTTATATAATCTATAAATTATATGTTTTTTTCTTTTGTATACAGGGTAAAATGTTTTTCAAATGCAGTGACATAGCAGAAGTGGAAAAAATCAGTCACTGCATAAGTCAACATTTCATGTTTCAAAATCAGAGTGAAAAACTGTAAACTGTTAAATTTCTCTAATGACTATTTGAAATATTGTGGGTATTTGTACTTACTTACCTGAATATCTATTTAGCAAATATCCTCAGATACAAGTTTAGATACAGAGTTAAATGTAATTTGAGCATTAGTTTACACATAATATAAATCAGAGTTTGACTATATCAAAATCCCATCAAACAGTGGGCCCCTCTTATGCTATTATCAAATATACTATACCACTGTGGGATAGCAGAGAACCATAGAACACTAGCATTATGTATGTTTATTAAATTTGGTCAGTTTTCAGAACCTTCCAAATAGGAATACTAAACTTTTATTTTACCCCTCTGGAAATTTCTCTCATGCTCAATACAGTCATCATCCCAATTCTTAATGAATTTATAAAAATATTTTTTTTATCCAATAATCCCGATAAGGTAAAAATAGGAGTTTTTATACCAAATGATAAACAGGCTCACTGACTATGAGAGAAACTAAACTTATTTAAATTGCCATACATTCGCTATTGAATCACACTTCTCCATTTTCTTTGCGTTCGTGTGTACGTGTTGTTGCCCACCTCAGACTGGCAGTTTTTAAGGTGCAGAAGCATCTTTCAAATATGTGTGTCTAACTCAATGACCAAGTTCCACGCACTAGTGTCACATGCTTTAAAATTTACATCATTAGCCCACCAAGAGCTGTATTAAGCAACAACACTAATTGAAACTGCATAATTCTTTAAAAATTACAGCACTTTCAATTAATCTAAGAGAAGAAAGGGGTGTTTATGTGGTTCATTACTTTAGTAGATTTCATTTTCTGAAATAAAAAGCCAAAAGAAATGGAAAAAAAAAACAAAAACCACATTTGAAAGAAAGCGCTGCCCCACTCTTTCAGCTTACTATGAAATACAAAAAAGTGCACCCTTCTATATCTACATATAAAACATATTAGAAATAAAACTTGTGTAAAATGTTTGCTGTGCAAACTAGAAAAACAGTCAGTCAGTCCATTCTTTTTCCTAAATATTCTGTCACATTCTCTTGCTTCCTACTGCAGAGAATCGCTGTTATCCAAGACCAGCCCACTGATGTTTGTTGTTGAGAGGTCTGTTCCATCATCTTCACCGCTGTCCACAGATTCATCCTCACTTTGCCCTGCCATCATAACTTGCTGAACAGCCAAAGTAGCACCATCAGATGACAGGGACTGAAGACTGTCTACATTCATGTTGACGGGAGCTGTAATTGTTACAACTGCTCCTAGAGACAAAACAAAAACAAACTATTAGCATAATAAGAACAAGGCTAAAATAATAATTTAGGGTTAATGGTCATGCATAACAGAATTCATTTTTCCTTTAAAAGAGAAGGCATAGGAAATTACAGTTGTAAAATCAAGTACTCAAAAATCAGGAAATGCCAGAATAAAGGTTGCCCTAAAACCTTAATTCATCCCCATTGTTTTTTCTTCAATTACGTTATCGTGTAATACTTTTTCCACAGAATCCCAACCTTATTAATTGTGCAGGAAGGAAGGTGCTCAGGAAATAATTCAGGATTATCTAAATGGAGTAATTTGTTTTCTCGATTAATCCGTCTTTCCTACCTCCCACTAAAGTCAGCAGAAAAAGTGCTATTGACTTCAACAGGTGTTAGGTCAAGCCCTTGAAGAATCAGCAATTATGCAGTAAGCGAAACAACTTGACTGTAGAAAGAGAAAGGACTGCCTTATGGTTAAAGCGCTGTAAGGAAAAACAGGTCTATTTCCTTCTTGGCCACAGAGTTTCTGTACTGACCATTTAACCGAAAAATTCACAGGTTCTAGTATTTTTTCAGTACCCACCCTAAATCACTTGCAGCTTGATTTGCAGAACCACGATTGCTTAGCACCTCAGGAAATACTGCAGGAATGAGTAGATGGTCAGGGAATCAGGAAGCCTTGAGTTACAGTTCTAGTTCTGCCACTCTGGGAAATACAGTGTGCGATCAAAGTAACAAAACACTATTGTAATGCACAGGTCGGAAAAATTAGAGTTGCATAGACAATTTTGATTCTAGCATTTCCTAACTTTTGAGTTATTTACTTTGAAAATCCTGAACAAGACTTTTAGCATTTTTCTATACATTTCATCCCCCCAAACAAAAAAAAACACAACCAGAAATAACCCCCCCAAGCATTTAGAGATACTTCTGTTCATTTTTTCCATACTGTAAGGCATAGCAATTCAGCTACTTCTGGAAATCTAAAATATAACAAAGCCACTTCAGTTCTACGTAATTAAGGCATTTTATCCAGAATTAGCTTTTCTATTTAAGTTTGGGCCAATACTCCTTACCATCTGACATTGTAAGTTCATTAGACTGCTGCTGAGCAACTCCTGAGGCAATGGAGTCAGGCCAGAATCTCTGAACTGGTCTGTTTTGAGCTGTTTTTTTCTTTGTTTTTGGAGTTTCCGAACAACTGGAATCCAGCATTGGCTGAAGAATTCGCCTTCTAGCATTGATAAACCTAAAAAACCAAAAGTAATAAAGAAGATCACATTTTGCCAAAAGATTCCAAGTTGGCAATGAAATATCACACGCAGCTTTAAGCCCTCTTAATTAAGAGTGCAATGGTAAAAAAAAAAAAAAAAAAAGAGAAAAATATAAGATCCAAAATGTCATTGTTCCTTAATACTCTGGTCTGACACTCCATTATAGAGGTGTACCAGAACTTCTTTAACTGCTAAACTAGAACGCCAAACCCTTTGATTTTACTAAGTAAACTTAGGAAGCACCCTTCTGCTTTTCTCTTGCTGGCAGCTGAACTTTCCTCCCTCCCCTTTACTATTGGCTAATACACTGCTTCTTCTAGCCACTAGGAAAGGTGCATATTCCAAGATCTGCCCACTGGAATATAAAGTTACCACAGCATGCCCTAAACAAGTCATTAGGGTTTCTCCAGTAGCCATGGTTCCTACTTGGGTCTTCTGCTTTACTTTCCTACTCAGTGGCTCTAAAGTGATTTTCCAAGCCCCCATGGAACTGATGGGCTCACTAAGCCTCCAATGTTCGGCTCTTGAGCCTCCCATGTTTGGTTCTTGAGCCAATCAACCCACTCACTTGTTAAGAGTCCCTACCAAATAGATTCTTCAGCCCTTTCCCAATTCCATAGCTCTCTCTGTTCCCCTCCTGTTTTCTTCAGCCTTCTACTTTCAGTCCAAGAATCCTTCCCATTTTTCTACTAAGTCTGATCAGTCATCAGTGATTAATCTCACTGTAGCTGGCATGACAGCAATAAGGAATAATTGTCTTGTTCCTGAGCACAGGTGTTAGAGTAAAGACAACGGTGTTCTATTGCCAGATATGCCAAAGACTTTTAGACACATCATTAAATTTATCTAATCCTAGATTCCTTGACTTACAAAACAGTCATAAAACTATTCCATATGTCTCAGGAGTGACAGGAAGTGAAATTGGCTGACCACCTTGGACAAAAGAGTGGCACATGTACCAGGAGTAGCAGAGAAAGCCAGTGTGTTTGGCATGTGGCAGACTGGGGAGGAGGTGGGAAGTAGAGTGGCAGGTTGGCCAGTGGGCAGAGTGACAGATCAGGTAGGGGACAGGGATCAGTGGCAGATTAGGAAGAGGACAGGGCTGAACTTGTTGCATGCTGACTAAATTTGTGGCACGTCTGACAAAAAGAATGGCCACCACTGCTGTCAAGATGCAAAGTGCTATTACAATTAAAACTACCCAAAGTTTAGTTAAGAAATTACTTAACTAAACTCAGATTCAACTCAGATTCTTTTTCAGAGTCATCCCTCAATAATAAATATTATGTCAAAGGTCTGGTTCTTACCAATTGTTAACCTGGAGTAGTGTCAGATTTGTCTGTGCTGCAATCTGTTTTTTTTCATCTTCTGTTGGATATGGATGCTATGAACAGAAAAAGAAACGTAAATATTTCTTCTTTGCTTCTTTCTTTCATTAGAAGAAAAAATAAAAGCTCCATTATTTCCAATTTAAAAACTAGTAGAATCTAAAAACCATGTGATTCATTAAGCCACACACTTTTCCTGATAACATCATTTAATAAAGCTTTACAAAACATTATACCCTTATAAAGTGCATATGCTACCATTTAATTGGCCGTGTCAAATTCAGGAAAAAAAATGCTTCTCAAGGCTGCCAGAGTCCTTGTTAGACAGCGTGATCCTTGGACAATACAGCATGTGATAAGATCTGATTAGTTACACTGTCTAGAGGTAGCATCATATGAGAGTACTGACAAGCTGTTTGTGGTTAAATAAAACTACTATGAATTAAACAGTGTAAGGGAAGAGTATAACATAAGAAATGTATGTGTGATTTTCTTGTATTATTTATCTGTTGTAAAATCAAATAAATCAGAAAATATTCCATGAATTTCTAATGGAATAACCACCACAGCAACCACCACCACTTATTTTTCCTTTCCAGTTCATATATGATATCCTTGTGTTACCATGAGCAGGTGGCATGTACAGACTGCTGAAAGGTTTGATGGAATGGAAATAAATACAAGCATACAATCTACAATTTCCCTCTATATAGAATTTATGTATAACTGTTCTTCATTGGGCCACAGACCGGGGAAACATGGCAGTAAATCTTTAGCTCACTAAAATAAAGGGGAATTCTACCAACACCCCCTCAAACTTCTAATAAGACCATAGAGTTCAAATATTAAATCTCTCCAGGATTAGGTTCTGATCCAATGGAAGTGGAATTAGGATCATATAATGCACGAGAAAATATGCCTTCTTGATGATGCAAATCAAAATAGACATCAAAAGACTTTGTCAAAACTTTTAACTGTTGATCATGCTTAGTCCTTACCCCAATGTGCTGAAAAAGCCATGATCTCATCACATTTGTAGCATGCTTTGGAAGAACCCCTCTTTTGTTTTTTGATGAGCCATCATCTTGATGCAAGATGTTTAGATCTTGGTTTAACTGAAACTGAAGCTACATAAATAATTTAAAAGAAATAGAGAAAATTAAAGGTAGGAACTTACTATATTAATAAAGATATTTCACAAAAATGTTTTTATGTGAAAAAATGTATAACTTACAGAAGGAACGAAAAAGTTAGCTTTATAATCAGTGTCTAAAATGGTACTTCATTTACCTGTAGAGGTCGTGCTGGTAGTTCTCTTGCAGTATTATCCTAGAGAGATCCATATGCTGGGTTAGGGGGAATCAGGTTTCTATAATTTTAGCATTTTCTAGACCCCCTCTCTAAGAAATACAGTAATTATTGTGAAGACATACATAGCACATCACAGCTACCAATTGCCCCCTTTCTTCTTCATTTAGATAAAAATCATCCTAACAAGTGGGACCAGGAGCATAGTCTTTTACAAGCAGCACACCAAGGATCTGATTCTCAATTGGTAGTCACCTTGTGCATCAATTAACACATAATGGACACCAAATGCAAAATGCTACACTGATTTATTTTATAACCACTGAGCACAGAAGACACTAAGTGTGGGAGCCAGAGGGGAAGAATCATGTTCTACATATTTAACAGGGATTTAGTCACTTAAAAGACTTATGACAGATTCAGCTAGGCAGACTATACAAGTTGCAGTCTAATTTTGTGGTCCAAACCACTCCCACTGAGCAATGATCTAGCCCTGGGAGCAAAAACTAAATAAGCACCTCCCAGTTCAGCATGAAAGTTCCCTGGGCACCTGCAATTCTGTTTTGGGTATACCCAGAATGTCCCAACCTTGCTAAACCCTGTAGGGGGCCAGAAACTGGGTAGAGTACACATCAGACCCCTGCAGACCCTAATCTAGTAGGCACTTTTTGAGTATGTTAAACATACACTAAATCAGACCCATCACAAAATGCATTAGCAATGGCCCGATTTCTAAAATGTGACCAGTATTAAGGACATCTGCCTTTTATATAATATTGGCCAGACCACTAATCCAGGAAGTAGGAAATGTTACAGGTCCTCCTCTACCCAGAGGTGTAGAAACTTAAAACTCACATCTCCTAGAGGAGTGCCCTAACAATGTGTCTAGATGCTAGGCTCCAAATGGGGCATTCTCCTCCCTCCTCTTGAAGCTAAAACATTGGACATAAAGAAATGCAAGCTGCATGGGAACAAGAAGAGAAAGTGGGAAAAGAGAGCATGAATATACAGCCTCATGGTTAAGCAGTCCCTTGGGAGGCTGGGATGCCAGGTACCAAGCCTCTGCTCCTAGCAGAGTTACTGCATTTTACATTGATATACCTATATGTTTCCCCATTAAAGAAGTGCATTGATAGACATCAGAAAGGATACTCTTCAACATTTAGACCAAGCTAGTAGGAAAAAGTATATAGTTTGCATTTGACAACCATGGTATAACTTTCTAAATCCACTGTTTTTAAACAGAGTCCTTGTTTATCTTCAAGAAACAAAGCAGGAGAGATGCAAATCTATTTTAAAAAGGTCTTTTTTGAGCTAAGTGTCAAATATCAAATGATTTTTCCCCTCACCTCCAAATGTACTTTCAGAAGTAATAACAAATATATTTTTTCTTTTTTTAAGTTCCAAGCAATTCTGTACAGAGGATTACTAGTGATATTTTCAATATGCATCCAGAGAGGAATTCTTTTTTTCTCAGAAAGCAGTGGAATACTGAAAGTAGGAATTTCAATGGTCTATCTGATGCCTCACAAGTAAAATTGGAATGAAGTCCCAAACTCTACCTATGGATGAAGTAGACCACTACAGCGGAACTCAAAAAAGGCGCATGCATGTAAGCAAAGAATTGTATCCATATGCTAGGTATATTTCCTACTGTTTTCACGTTTTCTCCCAGAAGTGTGAGAATTTTCCCTCCAAAGATTCCAGTCTCCCAGAAATCAGATTTTTCCAAAGGATAAGGAGATGCTAAGGTAGATTAATTTGCTAAACATTTGAATGGGAAAATTCATATGCACACTATTAAGTTCAAAGTTTAAGGTTCCAGTCTATGAAACTAATTTATCTTTCATAGGTATGCACATGCAATCCTTATTAATTCAGAAGTGTGCATTTCTGCCAGCAGAACTTGACCAAGTATATACTATTATAAACATCAGAGGACAAGTCTACTCTAAACATACTTTAATAATGTAATAAGTCAGTAATAGTCATTCAACTTTACACTGTAAAAAACAATCTTCCTGTTGACATATTTAGTAAATTAATCCACCTTTAATTCTCCTCCCACCTTGGAAGATTTGATTTATACCACTTTCTGATTCATGTACCACTATCCTGATGTTGTGTTGATTTGGATCATCTACTTCTTATCATGATTCCCTTTCCTGTAATGCAAGTGTCATAGCACTGCCCTATTATAAACTTTAAGTGGCTTCCCAGTAAGGACAGGCTTACTTTTATCTTTTTTAATTCAATACAACACACACTACATGGTCATCACCCATTTAGTTCAGCACAGTGTTTTGAAGGTTGAATAGCTGAATAGTGAAACACCTCCCAACATGTATAAATTCTGAAACACATAAAACAGAATTCTAAATTTCTGGTGGTAGCTGCCTTTTTGGTAAAAACTGAAATTTCTGATACCAGTAATATTGAATGATAATGTAAAAGCGGCAGGACATCCTACCATAAATCTATTTCAACAGCTAGAAAAAAATGGTAATTAAAAAAAATGCTTAACGTTTAGTCAGTAGACTTGCTTTTCTTCTATACAAGTACTCTGCCATCACCAGAAAGACACTGATAGTCAGGGCCTACAGTGCTTTTATTACATCAAGGGAGATTTTTGCAGATCTTTGGGATTTCGTGCCTGGCAACAAAGGCAAGAATCTTTGCATCAGCATTTACTTTAATTGCAGAAAACTGCTAATTTTATGCAAGGTTCCTTCTGGCAATTTATCACTCTTAATATTTTACTATTTAAAACTTTTTTTTAATCTACAAAACTTTATTGAAGACCCTGAAACAAACCTGGGAATTCTGGATCCGAATTGTCCCAGGTGACAGTGCTTGTGTCACTACTTGACCTTGTGGAGTAACCACTGTGACTGGCTGATACACTGTGCCCCCTTTGAAAAAAGAAAATTATGATCAGACTTTGTTTATATTCATATCTATATAGCAGACAAAACATCAAGCACGTGCATTTAAGTACTGAGACTGCTTAAGTGAATAAGATTGTTGTGGTCTTTGTAGAATGCAATTCATTATAAACAATTATTCTGTTATCATATCTGCTTTAAAGATGGACAAAGGCACTGCAAATAAATACTTTACAGCTGATAAGTGATGAACACCTTGACAGGGTCGTTTGACCCCAGTACTCTTTCCTGCCATGGCAGGGGGTTGGACTTGATGATCTGCTCAGGTTCCTTCTGACCCTACCAACTATGAAACTATGAAGTGGAAGTGCATTATCTAAATAGCTGATATTAAGCCTGTTATTTTATTACAACTTTTCCATTGAATAGAACTCTTCAATATTTTAAAGCTTTTTACCATTCATGAAATCTGTATCAAATATGGCTCCATTTTGGCCACATTTTCAAAATACCAGACCAGACGCTCCTGCTCCATCTAGCTTAGGCACAAGAACCAATATGCCAGTGCAGCCATGTTAGCTCAGCATTAATTAGCCACTGAGCATCTGGGTAAATTGGCAGAGGCGGAGTGTTGCACTAGCGCAAGCTATTTTCCTTCCAGTATCTGAGCAAGCTCATTCAGGTATATGTATAAATGTTTGTGAAAAGATAAATGTAGTCAAACTGAAATGCAATCACTCTGCCTGCCGCCTGACCACAGCAGCACATGTAGGAGTTTTCAAAGTTTCACTGACTGACTTCCAGGTGCTGTTACCTAGCTATATAATGCAATGAAAGAGTCATTTATTGCAGCATTCATTTTGATTAAGACTTTTGTTTGCCTAACAATATTTTGAAAAACATAGAAAAAGTGCTACTCTTGAAAATGCATAAGTTAAATAACTTTGTTTTTGGGGTTTGTTTTGTTTTCTTTAAGACACTGCATTGAAATCTCTCTCAAGTAGATGCTGTATGTAAAAAAAATGGCTATGTACAGACTTTAATTCCTACTGGAAGAAGGGGGAAGCTGGCAGAAGCCTGCAAATTGCCGTGCCTCTTCCCAAAACCAGGGACAACCTGGTTTGAAGAAGAAGCAGGGAGCCTCTCCATACCAGGAGAATAGCGATTCTCCTGGTCAAAAATGAATGTGTGTACCTGGCCTGTGTGTATGATACTTGATCAAGCAAAAACCATCAACTAGCATACGAAACCAGCATGCAGAAGCTGACATGGTATTTCAGTGGGAAGCTCTTGTCAAAGAGTTTTTAATAAAACAGTCCCATCTTCGTGCATTTTTTTTAGCAGTTGAAAAAGAAACTAAAATAAAGAGCAATGGGTTAGATTTTCTTGACTGTGTCATACCTGCTACAGTTGCCATAGTTACATTTCCCTGCTGCAATGCTGATGCAGGCACCATAATCCCTTGGGGACTGAGTGTGCCGGCAATGGCACTTGGAATTTGCTAGAAAAATAAAATAGTTAGTTTCTTTAAAAACAAAAAGTATGTTTTGTAATCTTAGTCTCAATGAATTTGGGGCAAAAAAAAAAAAAAAAAAAAAAAAAAGGCTCTCAAAGAAATAGATACCATCAGTAGAGGCCATTTTCAAAAACTGATCTGTTTGAAAACATTAGTCATGAGATAATTAAAGTAGAAGCAAAATATCTGGAGAAATTTGTGGAAAATTTTGGATATCAATACTAAAAGTGAACTGTTTCCAAAGACATGGGAAATAAAGAATGGTAGATAAAATTACAAGTTATTAAGAAACAACTTAATTTCTTCTGAAGTTTTCTGACTTTAAAATAACATAGTAGGCACACACAATTCCTAAATGTTATTTTAAGCATATCTAAACTCAACATTATAGTTATGTAATTTAAATCATACTGCTAGGCCCTGATTCTAGCCTTTCACCAATCTTAATTAAGCATGTGAATAATTGCATTGATTTTAAAGTAAATTTTATGCTCTTTGAACTACTTAGAGTGCAGAAAGTTAAAGATGTACGCTGATTCTGGAGTAACTTGCATATAAGACTATATGACTACTAGATACTGGGGCATCATAGTTCACAAGAAAGAATAGCAGAAGTACCAGAAGAGTAATCCAGGCAGTAATGATTGCTTTATTACTTTATAAAATATTGTAATGAGATACTTCAGCAACACAGCAAATGCTGGGCACATGTACATGAATATGCTATTCCTGATTTTACAAAGTGGACACAGATGATAAACACTAGGGGTAGGCATACATCTGAAAAATTATGACTAGAAACCAACACACAGCCTTGTCTACTCATTTTGGAACATTCAGACTAATTTACATGGTCAGTTGACACATCTACATTGCCATGCTATCCCGACACCTTTAAATGAGGCAGACAAAGCAAAGGAGACATTGCCAAAAAGATACAATGTACATTATGATAACTTTTCCCTTTGTTTGTTCCTACATCTCCTTCCATCAGGACAGAAAATCCAAGTTATTATGTTATGTTTTCAGTTTCTAGACTGAGACAAGTAGTAAAGAAAATATTCAAATAATTACTGTTTTTTTTTCAAGTGTCAGCAGATTTCAATAAACTTGCCCACTCTGCAGCAGTACAAAAGAAGATCGCTAATTTTAACAACAACAGAATTGTAAAGAATCAAGTAAACTGTGAAAAATTCTACTTGAACACTAAGTGCAAGAACAGTGTATTTGTAAATTTCCTAGAGGCAAGGATTTTTTGAGGCGACATCTTTTATGCTACTAAACTAAGAAAAACAAACACTAAAAAGATACCTCCTAAGAAACCCTTGCCTCACACAGTTCCTGGAGCCACTATGGCTACAATACTATTCAAACACAACCATAAATTTCCTAGGAAATTTAAGCGAATTTAAACTAGTTTGAAATGTACCTGGGATTGGACAGGGGAATAAGGACTTCCAGGTTCTCCACTTAGTAGAGTTTCACTGTTCATTTTAGTTTTCAGACAGGCAATGTAACGACTACAGAAATCCTTGCAGAGTTCATTAACCTTTTCTAGCTCTAGCAGATGAATACGTAGAACCTGGATTGCTTTTACCATCTAGAGAGAAAAAGACAGGAAGAACTCAGAAATAAGGCAAAAAGACAGTATTACTTGCAAGTATAATTCATCTGGCTAAACAAATACTTTTTCCCCTATTACTAGAAGATATAACTACTGATAGCAGAATTCTGGCCACAATACTCTAGCAAAAACTAGAGTATTATATATTAGTCACTATAGCATCCGTCTCGTCTTCATTGTAATCCATAGTACTATTGTCCTATTACAACGGGGTTAGGGCAGAGGTGGTAAATTGCAGTACTCTGAGCTACAGTCAGAAGACTCAGGTTCCACTCTTTAGTTGCACTACTTCCACTGCTGGAGTCAGAAGAAATAAAACTGCTATGAAAGCAACACCTTTAAGCCTGCTGAGAAGTCCCTCCCTTATCTGGCAGCAACCCTTCTGGCCATTAATATCAATCTACGATCTAAAAGGATAGTGGCAATAACATGAGATCAAGAGATGTGAGGAAATGGAATTGTTATACTTTTTACAAGAATAGAGAACTTCAACAAACAAAACTAAACACAAAACAAAAAAGCCCAAGCTAACAGCAAGAGCTATCATCATCAAAATGGAAAACAGTTATGGCAAACTTTGAATGAAAACATGGAGCTAGTAATGACAAGGAAGGGGCAAACAGGACATGCCCCATCTGGTATAAATTAAACATGTAATGCTTTAGAAACAGGCGCTGGTATAAGGAAGATATATTCTTTTAACCATATCTGAGGCTAAACTCTAATTTGAATGTGTCAGTCATTAGTGCTCTGGATCAGAGAATTTGTACCCACTACAGAAGAGGCTGACTAGCTTTGGTCTTTTCAACCGCAGGCAGATAGTTCAAAGGCAGTCAGCTGCATTTGCTACATGCTGAAACAGATTAATTTTCCAAAAAAAGCCAAACCAGTCTGTTTATTATTATTATTATTTATACTTTAGCACTGTAGACTGGGACTGCCTTGTGCTCAGCTTTATATACACATCTAACAAAGAAAGTCCCTTCCCCAAAGAGCTTATAATTGAGTCAAGTTAAGCAAAATATTATTACTTACTGCTGCTGGACACAATGTTGTTCTATTCTAGATGGAAAGTTATAATACTTGGTTACAGCTTTCAAACTAAAAACTTGCTACTAGCAAGAGAGCCTGATTTTTCACCTCCATCTTTGACTTGTACACTAATAACTTAAGAGACATTGGTGTAAAAGGTCTAAAGTGGATGTAACGCTCTTAAAACTAACTGATATTCTTGCAAAATACAGAGCTTAGGGAAGCAGAAACTGTGCCATTTTCCCACAATGCAACTCTATCACTATGTATTTCTTTAAAGATTGCAATAAGGAATGACAAGTTTGTCAGTTTTTTAAAATACAGGCAGTCCTTGACTTACAAGCCAGCAAAAGCTGGCTTGCATCCATAGATGCTTCTCAAGCAAATCCTGGGATGTCATTCTCCCCTTGTACTTGGTCTTGGTGAGGCCGCGGCTGGAGTACTGCGTCCAGTTTTGGGCCCCACAATTCAAAAAACTATGTGAAGATGCTTGAGAGAGTCCAGAGAAGAGCCACGCGCATGATCAGAGGTCAGGAAAACAGACCTTACGACGACAGGCTGAGAGCTATGGGGCTCTTTAGCCTGGAAAAGCACAGGCTCAGGGGTGATCTGATGGCCACCTATAAGTTTATCAGGGGTAACCACCAGCATCTGGGGGAACGTTTGTTCACCAGAGCGCCCCAAGGGATGACGAGGTCAAACGGTTACAAACTACTGCAAGACTGTTTCAGGCTAGACATAAGGAAGAATTTCTTTACTGTCCAAGCCCACAAGGTCTGGAATAGCCTGCCATCGGAGATGGTTCAAGCACCTACATTGAACACCTTCAAGAGAAATTTGGATGCTTACCTTGCTGGGATCTTAATGACCCCAGCTGACTTCCTGCCCTTCGGGCGGGGGGCTGGCTCGATGATCTTCCGAGGTCCCTTCCAGCCCTAACGTCTATGAAATATATGAAATCTACAATTTTTCAAGTTACAATGCTCCACACTTAAAACGTTTATAAATTGACACCCTGTTTCAACTTTATGACATCGGTTTCAACTTTACAACATTTGATCTGATGCGACGCCACGCCAGTGAACAAGTTTGCTGCCTCGCTCATCTCCCTGCAGAACATCTGTCCAAACTTCCTTGGACACTTTCTTTAAGAAAGCAGACAAGACTCCAGAAAAACCTGCAGCCAGGACTCCAGAGAAGACTCCAGCCAAGAACCCTTCAAAAAGTCCAACCAAGAGCCTTTCAAAAAGTCCAGCAAAGTCACCTCAAGGAAGTCCTTCCAAATCAATATGATTGCTATTTACAATCTAAATACATTAATGTATCTATATTACTCATCTATAATTGATTTGAGTACAAAATTCTGGGGTATTTTTGGTGAAAATAGGGTATTGGGCCTTGGTTCAGGAACCAATCCCCCATTTATAACATTATTTCTTATGAGAAAATTGGTTCCGAGTTACAATGTTTTGACTTAAGATGCGTTTTTCAGGAACCAATTGTATCGTAGGTCCGAGGACTGCATGTATACACTAAACAGGATTTCAGTCTTACAGAATTTTAAGATACTTTGCAACTTGCAGGCAAAACGTAGCCTTTAAGATTAAGGCCAAGTTTTATGAGCAATTATGGAAAAATGTTTCAGAGGGAACAGCGAAGTATTTTATGGAAGTGTCTTAGAAATATATGCAGATTGCTGATAAATCAATTAAGTCAAGGGTGAAGGCAAGAGCTGTGCGTCAAAAAAAATTGCACTCTTGGCTGGGTGTACTTGGGCTAAGTACTCTTGCACATAGGAATAAAAACGGCTTTGAGGGTAAGAATGATGGCAAAAGAACTAGAATAAAACCTAAAATCGGACGGCTTGAATTTTGATGGTGCAGTAGCTAATATAAGAAGTTCCAGCAGTGTTAAGACTGAATTGACACAAGGCGCTAGTCATATTTCTGTTGTGCAAGGCATCATTCACTACACTAAACTTGCTGTTCCAGATCTCAATGATATCCCTATTTTATAAAATGGAATTTATTTTGTAAGACTTGAACCTCAAACAACAACGCCAACTTCAACCTGTGCACTATTTTGGAAGTATTTGCCAAGTGCAAAGGGGTTGCTTGACAGATCAAAACGCCAAAGCCAATAATGACAAAACATATTTAGTAGTTGCCTATTTGGTATTATAATTGCAGACTAAGCAAGACTAGCCTTAGTTAAGGACAAAGTAAGGATATCAAGATAAGGCACTTTTTCAAGGTTGATTTGAGTTTCTTTTGTGACTTGAATTTTCTCTTACTTTTCAAGAGCATTCTTTCTTGCTGTTTGAAGCTTAACCAAAACTAGAAAATGGTATGCTTGAACTCACCATAATGACAGGAAATTGTTCTTCTTCCAAAATTTATTTTTAAAGGAAGAAATTTGACTAAGTAAATGTTTGAGTCTTACTTGCAAAACTGCAGTAAACTCAGATCTGGGCATTAAAAGCTGCTATTTAAAATATAAATCCCAGTTCCCCAAATTTCAGGGTTTCAACTCCACAACAATGTTCCATGGGTTTTCATGTTTTGACTCCAGACCAGGAGTTTTTAAGAACAACTGCATCCCCACCAAAGCAAGGGCCCAATATGGAAGCATACAAACTGATGATCTTTTTACACTAGTGCTTTCCAGCAAAGGTTACCATTAAAACTTGTACTTAAATTCCTACAAATCCCAAGTAAATTACCATGAAGATGCAGGTTAATGGGTTTTAACCAAATGTCAGCTCTCTTTAAGGATATACAGCTCTCAGAAGAAGTATCATTATAAAAGCTAGTCAACTGCCTGTCGTGAAGGACAGAGTGTTTCAGGGAGTGTTAACATGCCACCTCCTCCCCCTGCCCCACCCTTGGGGCTAATCATGTAAACAGCCCCTCCGACTCCAGGCTCTGGCGCAGGGGCTCCATCCCCCACACCCGCCTCCTCCCCTGCCTCTCTGCCTGAGGGGGTGGTGGTGGCTCCTCCCTGCCCACCTCGCCTCCTGGCCTGAGTCGGTGGCAGTGGCAGCTCCGTCCCCCCCACCTGCCTCTGCCCTCACCTCCTCCCCTACCTGAGGCAGTGGCGGAGGCTCCCTCCCTGCCTAAGGAGGTGGAGCCCGCACAGCCAATCACCGCCAGCCTTCGTGGTGGCACATGCGCAGTTGCCCAGAAGTTTTACGGACAAACAGACTAAGCCCTTTATTGAATTAGAATGGTCTTATAGCACTGGCATGATAAAAACTTCTACACATCTGACAAAGCAAGAAATTAATAAGATACAGCCTAAGTATATTGTTTACAATATGAAAATGTCAAATTGGGCACACTAGTGCAGCAGTAGTGTTATTATATGATCATATACGTTTCTCAAACCAGGTGGACATTATTCATATTATTATTCAGTTATCAGAGCTTTTACATGTCTGAAATAAATTACCGTCTCTCAGTTCTGACTCTTATCCTCAGCTTACTTTAATTTTAAAGTTTGGGGACATCACCAAAGACAAAAGCTAAACAGCAGACAAAATGGGAGTTAGATGCCCTAGAAAACAAAAAACAAAACAAAAAGAAAACAAAAAGATATACTGGCACAAATGTCCAATGCTGTACAAACAGAACAGAGAAAAAATGCCTTGAACCACAGCAGCAACATTCAATTCTGATTCTCTTGACAGAATTAAATGAGATCTTGAAATATGGAACAACCTTGTTTGTGTGCCTAACAGCCAAATCTGTTAGCTACCCGTGGGGGGGGAAAATCAAATAATCAGACTTTTCCCCCCTCAGTGAAACTGAACAGAAGAGGTTTTTTGTTTAATATTTTCATTAATGCTCTGGGCAATAGGATTGAGTGCACACTTAGTAAATTTGCTAGTGATACCAATTGGGTGGTGTTTCAAGTATTTTGGAGGGAGGACTAGGATCCAAAATGACCTGGATACACTGGAGGAGTGGGCAGAAAACAACGAGCTGAAATTCAGCAAAGATAAGTGCAAAGCCCTGCCTTGGGACAGAATAATTGCATGCACAAATACAGACTGGGGAATGACTGACTAGGTTGCAGTACTGTAGAGAAGGACCTTGGGGCTACAACAGACCATTATTAAGTGAATATAAGCCAACACTGCAAAAAAAAGCCAAAAGCATACTGGGTAACAGGAATGTCACTTGCAAATCAAGGGAGATGATTCTTGAGCTCTATTTGGCACTGATGAAGCCTCACTGGGAGTACAGTATCCAGTTTTGGTCTCCATATTTAAAGATATGGAAAACAAAAATGATTAGAGGCCTGGGAAGCCTGACTTATAAGGAACGGTTGAAAAAACTACGATGATGCAGTCTGGAGAAAAGACAGTGAGGGTGATTTGATAACAGTATGGGACAGGACTAGAAGCAATGGGTCTCAAACTGCAGCAGAGGAAATTAAGGTGGGGATTAGGAAGAACTTTTGGACTCTGTGGGTTGTCAAGCACTGGAACAGGCCATCTAAACAAGTAGCAGAATCTCCATCTCTTGAAATTATCCAGCACAAGTTAAACCAGGGGTGGGCAAAATACGGCCCGTGGGCCGGATCCGGCCTACGAGGCCATTCTATCTAGCCCGCAGGGCCCCTAAAAAAATTAGAAAATGAATATTTATTTATCTGCCCTTGGTTCCTGTCAAAAATTACAGGAACCAAGGGCAGTAGGACCCAGAGGAATCCCGGCGGGCTCCCACAACAGCAAGGCCCACCCGGCCCCATGCTTAGTTTTTCCCCAGACTCCTTCCCGGTGTGGAGGAAAGCAGCCCCTCCCCCGTCCCGTGGCCCACAGCCCATGCAGGACTCTCTGGAGCAGGCACAGGCAGCCCCAGGCAGGCTGCGAGCGGCTGCAGTGCGGGGTGCCAGGCACAAGACAGGCG